CAACATCTACCTTAAAGTCCTGGGCAATTTCACGAACAAGCCTCTGGAATGGAAGCTTCCTGATCAAGAGCTCAGTACTCTTCTGGTACTTACGGATTTCACTGCATGCATAGAATACTAATTAAGCATGCAATTAAATTGATAAACTCCAAAGACAACCATAAGTTTTTTAAAAAGAAAAAAAAAAAGGCACTTACCGAAGAGCAACAGTTCCAGGGCGGTATCTATGTGGCTTCTTCACACCACCAGTGGTAGGAGCAGACTTACGTGCAGCCTAATACACATAAGATACAAAATTAAAAACTAATGCATACAAAATATATTTTAGTGAAGACCAAGAATAAACTAAACAGAAATAGACCTTAGTAGCAAGTTGCTTCCTTGGAGCCTTTCCTCCTGTAGACTTACGAGCAGTTTGCTTGGTACGAGCCATCTGAATACAACAACCCAACAGTTTTTTTTTAAATCAAGACATGAGAAAGACTTAAGTTTGCAATTATAGAAGAAACTCACCCAGAAATTCATAAGATTAAGAAGCAAGACGAATGAAGGGTTTCAATTTTTCACTAAAAACAAGAAGGTGAAAACCAAATGAAAGATTAAGACTTTCAACTTGCACCATTGGAAGTTGACGATTAAACAGAGTCACCCCCCAGATTGTGCAAATTTGAAGAACATAAGATTGCTTCGTGCAATATTAATATACTCACTGTGCCGGAAAAGAATGACATTGCATTAGCTATTTGGAGGGAGATACATAATTTTTTACTTCGAAAATGATTTTTTTCCAAATACAGTCAAGACAACGGAAATCCATGTTGAAATTAGCACCGAAATAATGTGTTATCTCAAGGGAACAAAATCCATAGCAATTGAGATTGATGATTAACCACTAACGCCAAAATTGTACAAATCCAAAGAACATAAGATTGCTTCATACAATATACTCCCTATGTACACAAAAGAGTGGTATCATAAACAGAGTCAACACCCAGATTGTGCAAATTTGAAGAACATAAGAATGCTTCATGCAATATTAATGTACTCACTATGCCAAAAAGAATGACATAGCAATAGCTAAATGGAGTGAGTTATATGATCTTTTACTTTGGAAATTATTTTTTCCAAATATGTTCAGAACAACAGAATTCCATGTTGAAATTAGCACCAAAATAATGTGCTGCTTCACACTAGCATCTCTTATTAGCACAAAACTTGAGAGACTATATTTCGCACTAATACATGAAAACACACACCAAGGATTTCACAAAATAAAGAATTAAAAAAACGATAGAAGATTTCAACTTTGCAGTTGAAGATAAACCTCCTATTCTTCTTTGATTGCTCCAAATACGTTAAAACAGCATGAGTATCAAAAGTAGCTGACTAGTCCTAATATTCTAGGAAATTCAAAAAATCAAAGAAAAACATATTCAAATTAGCAACAGGATAAGAAGGGTTGAGTCCAACCCAAGCAGTCTCTATTTCACAACAAAAAAAAGGAGCAATTAAAATCCCTAAAATAGAACAGCAAACTCGGAAACTATTATAGGAACCAAAGTAGAAGAGTTAAATCCCTAAATATTATAGAAATCAAACATTCCGTTAAAACCCTAACTTTATGCAGCTACACCTACAATTCTAACTTAGAAGATAGTCAGAAACCCTAACCCTAAATTTTCCACAGAAAAAAACGAAAATATAACCGATCAATTTCTTCATATATCATATATACAAGAGAAATTCAAAAATATAAGCAGGAAAACAGCTGACTAACCTCTGATGAAATCTTCTTTTTTTATTCTTCTTCGCTCTTTTTGTTTTGTAAATAAAAAAGTTCTAAAAGAGTGGAGGTTAAAGATTATATATATAACGTGTTGTGGGGGTATCGTGTCACAATGGATAAGGAGTTTGGGCTCAAACAAGGCATTGGGAAAAGCAAAGGAACTAAAAGACCACCACAAAGTCTTTTGGGCTTTATATGGGATCCGGATTAATGAATTGGGTACATTGAAATGAGAATATTAGCGAGGGCACACGAATGGTTAAATGGCCAAATAGTAGCATTAATGTGGGAGGCTGAAGTTTTGTAGAAACTTTCTCTCTGTGGTCTCTCTTCCTCGATTATTTCTTCTGTGACTTTGTCTTCTCATCCCTTTCTTTCTGTTCCTATCTTAGTTATGTTAATTTCCATCTTGTTATTCCCTAATTCCATGTATTGAGTTTCAATTAATCAAAGATCAATTCTCAGTTCCTATTTGCAATTGTGTTGTTTGTTAAATTCATAACATTGGTGCTTTCATTGAGAGTAATCCATGGTAGATTCCTCCGAGGTAGTGGCCAGATTAGATCGATTCATCGGTGGGAATCTAGCGGGCTGGATTTGTCAGGCGGAGTGGTACTTCAACTTTTGTCGTATCCCCAAGGACTATTGGCTATCTCTCGCTTCATTCTACCTCGGCGGCGATGCACTCGCTTGGTTCGACTGGCTTTACCGCAATGACCAGTTCTTTGATTGGAAACATTTTACTGAGAAATTGGTTATGCGCTTTCAGAAACGGGCTTTCGCAGATTCGGTGGAGCGTCTGGCCTATCTCTCACAGACTCATTTTGAAATTTTGGTCCCTCATAAAGCCCAGCGGCCTGCCTTTGCTCCTCTGAGCAGTAGCTTCAATTCTTCTGATGGATTTGACTGCTCACCTACTGCTGATTTGGAGGCCAGGCTAACTAGTGATGACAATGCTCCAAAACCTCCAATAAAAATACCGAATGAAGAAGCTATAGCTATTGCGAGCAACGTTGTCCAACTGTTTGATGAAAGTTTCGAGAGGTACATTGCTGCAACTTCTCTTTGTGCACAAAGGTTAGTGTCCTTTTGACAGCCACTTGTTTTAACAAAAGGCTTGGAGTAAGGTATTATAGTGTTCCGACATTCCATTTAAAATGTGTATTTGCTACTTTTGGACTTGCACCAGAGAGTTTAGATGTGGGTTCTAAGTGGCATGGAAAGACTGATGAACTGCAATGTATGTGGAGCAATATTATTATGTGGCTCATAGCGCCAAGGTATTATGTTTCAGCTAGACATAAGAACAGTGTATTAGTTGCAAATGCAAATGAGAGTTTAAGGATTAGTGGTGTATTTCTGAAGGCAATTAGAAGTGGTGGTGCTTCTATCTGCTTGACTTATGGATTTGAACAACAATTTCGTAAAATGTCTTAGTTTTTTAATCCTAGAGGTGGCATTTTGCTAGTTCAATTAGCGCGGCTATGGATTATTTCTTTGAGGGTTGTGCCACATTCTACAGATGATAACTTATTTGGTGGAACCTTAATCGAGATGATACATGCCATTATCATATTATGCAATTGGAGAAAGAGTTGCTTAATCTCTTAGCCAAAGAAATAACTTGAGAAACTCTTTAGAGGAATCAATTTCACCGCACATTCATAAATTGTGTTTCCTTCTATGTTCTCGCTCTTCAGTATTTGTGTGGTGTAGAAGGCAGAGTAACCATGAGCAACAACAATTAGTGGCAAGGGTTCTGGCATTCTTGATGCCAAGAATGATTTTTAAACACACTAAAGAAGGAATAGATAGCTCAATTGTTTGGCTTGCACTAGGAGAAAAACATATTCAAGCATCAAAGTAGCTCATGTAATGCATTCTGTTATTAAAGGAAAATTTGAGCTTGAAGAGATCTACAACTTTTATCAAGATAATTTGTTAACTGAGGATATTTGGTTGTTTGACACACAATTGAGTCTTTACAGCTTCTCCCTTATGTTACCATTGTTGCTCTACTCAAACCTTGAGGACAAGGTTCTAATTGAGGATGGGGATAATGTCATGAAGGATAAGGAGTTTGGGCTCAAGGATGGCATTGGGTCGTCTGAAGATGCAAGAATTGGGCCAACTAGGAAAAGCAAAAGAACTAAAAGATCACCACAAAGGCTTTCGGGTTTTATATGGGATCCGGGTTAATGAATTGGGTACATTGGAATGAGAATATTAGCGAGGGCACACGAATGGTTAAATGGCCAAGTAGTAGCACTAATGTGGGAGGCTGAATTTTTGTAGAAACTTTCTCTTTGTGGTCTCTCTCCCTCGACTATTTCTTCTGTGGCTCTGTCTTTCCATCCCTTTTTTTCTGTCCCTATCTTAGTTATGTTAATTTCCATCTTGTTATTCTCTAATTCCATGTATTGAGTTTCAATTAATCAAAGATCAATTCTCACCATTGAGAGTAATCCATGGTAGTTGAAGTACCACTCCGCCTGACAAATCCAGCCCGTTGGATTCTCACTAGTGAATCGATCTAAACTAACTAATGCCTCAGAGGAATCTACCATGGATTACTCTTAATGAAAGCACCAATGTTATGAACCCCCAACAACAATAGTCTAAGAAAAGTGATTTGATTACTAATACATTACAGAACTCAGTACAAGATAAGATAGTGAGAACGGGGATAGAGGAAAGTGAAGATTACAAAAAGAAAGAAAGGGGATGGGGACATTAATATATTGATACAATAACAAAGGAATTACACTCAAAAGTAACAATAACTAAGGATAGTAACAAAAAAGAAAGGGATGAAAAGACATAGCCACAGAGAGAAATAGCGTGGGAGAGCGAGACACGAGAGGGGAAGCTTTTAACAATATTCAGCCTCCCACATTAGTTCTACTATTTGGCCATTTAACCATTCGTGTACCCTCGCTAATATTCTCATTTCACTTCGTTAACCCGGATCTCATTTAAAGCCCGAAAGCCTTTGTGGTAGTCTTTTAGTTCTTTTGCTTTTCCTAGTTGGCTCTATTCTTGCATCTTCAGACGGACCAATGCCATCCTTGAGCCCAAACTCCTTATCCATCATGATTATATGATAAGGATTATATGATTATAAAGGCATACTAATGTTAAAAATAAAAAATAACAACAATAAAAATAACATATCTTGTGTAGTGTAATCCTACAAGTGGATCAGATGCAAGTATCTCATAATCTCAGAATAGTGACTACAACAGATGCATCAGAAAACCTAGTCCACGCTTTCACTACCCAAATCCAAGCATCCATTTAAATGGTACAAATGCATCCTATGTTTACGAAGAGCACAGTATAATCATTTATCCACAACAACTTGAACTAACCATTAGAAGAAAACACTGAACATTGTTCGACACCAGTGGTGTGACAACAAAACATTAGAGATCCAAACAAAATATCATGTTTTTCCCCTTCTCCAAAAAAACACCAACAAATTACAGCACACCACCAGCCACCAACAAATTCAAAGCAACAAGCCCTACTACTAGATTTAGTTACTGCCTTTATGTCTAACAAAGAAGAGCAAGAAAGGACCAACAATGCTACTAGCTAGAGTTGATCATATTAAGCACGCTCGCCCCTAATTCGTCTGGCAAGTTGAATGTCCTTGGGCATAATTGTCACACGCTTGGCGTGAATGGCACAAAGGTTAGTGTCCTCAAATAGACCCACCAAGTAGGCCTCAGCAGCCTCCTGCAGAGCCAGGACAGCATGACTCTGGAAACGCAGATCAGTCTGAAATACAAAAAGAATGATCAATCACCAGAAAAACAACATAGGCTACTACATCTTCCTTACCATAACAGTATCAAATTCAGAATCAATAAACCAAATAATTAATCCACAAAATCTACCTTAAAGTCCTGGGCAATTTCACGAACAAGCCTCTGGAACGGAAGCTTCCTGATCAAGAGCTCAGTACTCTTCTGGTACTTACGGATTTCACTGCAAACATATAATGCTAATTAAGCTGCAATTTACATTGATAAACCCTAAAGACAACCAGAAGTAATCTAAGAAAATGTACTTACCGAAGAGCAACAGTACCAGGGCGGTATCTATGTGGCTTCTTCACACCACCAGTGGTAGGAGCAGACTTACGAGCAGCCTAATACACATAAAATACAAAATTAAAAACTAATACATATTGAAAAAACATTTTAGTGAAGACCAAGAATAAACTAGAAGGAAATAGACCTTGGTAGCAAGTTGCTTCCTTGGAGCCTTTCCTCCTGTAGACTTACGAGCAGTTTGCTTGGTACGAGCCATCTGAAAACCATAATCCAACAATTATTTACTTTAATCCAGACATGAGAAAAACTTAATTTTAATATTAAAGAAGAAAGGCACCCAGAATTTCACAAGATTAATAAGAAAGACAAATGAAAGATTACAACTTTGCACTAAATACAAGGTAGTGAAAGCTAAATGAAAGATTTCAACAATCAACTTACACCATAGGAAGTTGATGATTAAACAGAGACAACCCCCAAAATGAGCAAATTTGAAGAACATAAGATTGCTTCATGCAATATACTCGCTATGACCAAAAAAAGAATGACATTGCAATAGCTATTTGGAGGGAAATATATAATTTTACAATGATTTTTTCCAAATGTGTTCAGAACAATAGAAATCCATGTTCAATTTATCACCAAAATAATGTGTCGTCTCGCGCTAGCATTCTCTTATGAGTACAAAGACTTGAGAAAGACTCGATTTTGCATTAATACATGAAAAGCATACCAAGAATCTCACAAAATAAAAGATGAAGTTCATCAAACTTGCACTAAACAAGAAGGGGAAAATCCATAGCAATTGAAATTGACGCCCATACTGTACAAATCCCAAGAACATTACATCGCTTCATACTATATACTCCCTATGTACCCAAAATAATGACATCATAATAGCTACTTGGAGCAAAACACCTTTTTCATCTATGATTTTTTCAAATATGGTCCAAATAACATGAGTGTCAAAAGCAGCTGACTAGTCCTAATACTTTAGGAAATTCGAAAAAAAAAACAAAGGAAAACATATTCAAATTTGGAACAAGATAATCAGGGTTGAATCCAATCCAAGCAGTCTCTATTTCACAAAAAAAAAAAGGAGCAATTAAAATCCCTAAAATAGAACAGCAAACTCGGAAACTATTATAGGAACCAAAGTAGAAGAGTTAAATCCCTAAAATATTATAGAAATCAAACATTCCGTAAAACCCCTAACTTTATGCAGCTACACCTACAATTCTAACTTAGAAGATAGTCAGAAACCCTAACCCTAAATTTTCCACAGAAAAAAAGGAAAATATAACCGATCAATTTCTTCATATATCATATATACAAGAGAAATTCAAAAATATAAGCAGGAAAACAGCTGACTAACCTCTGATGAAATCTTCTTTTTTTCTTCTTCTTCTTCTCTCTTTTTGTTTTGTAAATAAAAAAGTTCTCGAAGAGCGGAGGTTAAGGATTATATATATAACGTGTTGTGGGGGTATCGTGTTATCAAAACTGTATATCTGACGGTTCAGAATGATTATCCCTGTGCTTTTCTAATCCATGATCTACGGTTAGTAAATGAGTTAGTTGTGTTTTCTAAAAATGATTGGACGGTTAGGATTTGATCTTGAAGTTCGTGCCGGATTGAGAGGCCTCTATACTGGATTCTGATTGGCTGAAATTATCTAGTTCACTTTCATTAGAAGTAGTAATAATATGTTTGCTTTGGCGGATTAATAGGAACTTTGAATAAGTTTCGGTCTTAATCTTTAACTTATTGCAATCTATCTATCTATATATATATATATATATATATATATTACAGTGAATAGAAAAGATAGACTTTGCATATCTCTTTGGCCAAAGATTATATTTATCTTTTTCTCCTTTTTTTGACATTTTATCTCTCATTTTAATACAAAAAAAATCATTTACTACCTAGGAAAGATAAATGAGGTTTATGGATGAGATTTTCAGTTATGGAATATAAACAAAATATAATTACTGCTCAAATATGAGAAAATTTCAATTATGGAATAGGAAAAAGAATAATTAACTAATTAATTTGTACCTGAAAATCACAGTGATTATATAGGCTAATCTTTTGCCCCGATTCAGATCAAACCTAAACAATTGGTTTGAGATTATTCTGAGCTTTGAAGTGCTTTTGCTGATTATAATTGAGAGCAGAGGTGGATGTAATGTATAATTTACGAATTCAACTGGACCATAACTTTCTACGCGAAATCAAAATTTGCATGTAAAAATTCATTAAAAAATTGCAAAAATAGTAAATATAAACCTATAACTTTAAAAATATAATGGGTTCAATGTTAAAAATATTAAAATTAAACCTATATGATTTAAATCCTGGATGTGGCTCCGATTGAGAGCTAATGACCACGTATGCTTAAGGGTAAGGCTTTCAAGGAGTAGGACAAAGAAGTACAAAGAAAGAAATCTAATGATTCTGGTGTTATAACTATGACATTCTTACTAATTTTCCTTTCTTTGTTACTTATTTCCTTTTAACGATGCTGGGAGATAATCTTTTCTACTTTGTCTGCGTGTTGGTGGAACGACCTTAAGTTTCAAGAAGAGGAGAGTTCTGCAAGTATATCTTTACACTGCAAAAAGGTTTTTAGATATATGGGTTGTGAATTTTGAAAATCGTTGCATAATTTTATCTGTCAAATTGTTTGAGAACTCACCTTTTTATGATATTTCTTTGAGGATTATATTCAAGTGTCTATTTAACTGTTGTTATTAACTTATTACAATCAATCTATATCAAACATTCTGGTTTCTCATCATATAGTATCATCAAAGGTATATAAATAAGGAAAAAAATAATAATGCAAGGAAAAAAAATGACTATGGTCAGGTCTTTTGATTTTTCGAGCAATTTATATAAGATGACATCTGGATTTACAGGTATATTATATGTATGTATTGAGTCAATGGATTTCTTTTTGTGCGTTAAGTGCGAGAATATTTTGTTTATGAATGCAAATGTACATATATTGTTACATGATGTGTTTAACAATTTTATTTTTGTTGTTTCTGTGTAATATTGTCAATATTTGTTGTTTCCAATTTTCTTAAAATGAATTGGCCTGATTAAAGATTAAGAAATAAAATGGTCTAAATAGAGGAGAGTGTGAATTAATAATTTCTTCTTCTCCTCTTCCTCTTTGTGTCTCTTCTCCTTTTCTGTCTTCTTCTTTGTCTATATTTTGTCTTTTATTTTTTTTAAAATGTGTTTATGTGTATTTTTATCTTGATTGTTCGGTATCAATCGTACGGTTATAAAAATAAAAAAAAAAAAACTAAATGTTGAGTTGAACTTTGATTAAATATTATAAAAGTGATGTCTTCTGAATTTTCATTAAGTGTTTTAAAAGTTGTATTTTCTCTTTTTTCCTTTAATATCGTATTTAAGAAATGCAATAATATTCCAAATACAGAAGTAGAGAAAAAAATAAAAATGGAGGGTAATGCAAAGATGTTATAGAAATACAAACTAAACATTGTGTTGAATTTTATTTATTTATAACTCTTATTAAATCATATAATATTACTATAACATATAGAAGAACTATAGCATATAACATATATAATATTTATTTTGTAGATCTTTTGTTTCAAACTTTAATTATTTAATAGTAATAGTTTTGTGGCATGATGCAGGATAATGAAAATATTGTTAGAAATTATCGTCTCTTCTAGAAACTTCTAGTGTGGCCCACATATAAGGTAATAAATTATTATATTGTCTCCCAAAAAAATAATATATCAGATAATATTCTGTAGTTATGCATATATGATAGTTTCTTTGATGGAAAGAAATTGTACCATATATTAGGAGTCTCTAGGGTAATTATAATTTATGGAGAAGTCCCTAGGGCTAAAGTATTTACCTAAGAGTCTCTAGCCTACCTATAAATACGCATGTGACTCCATTAGTCTGGCATCCTAAGATAGGCACATGCTAGAAGACTCCTTAGATTTTCTCTCAAGGTTCTTTAAAGGAATTCCCCACATCACTTGAACAACTATGGCTGAAGGTACGTTCCTTAATTAATTTCCGTTGTGATGACTCTGTATGTGTATTCGAATTTCATCATGTGGTATCAGAGCCACCCTTTAGCTATGTTATTTGGCGCTATATTCTGATGAAAATTACGGATATAGAGAGCAAAAGGTTTTGGCTTACCGCATTTGTTTTCACATACTCGAAACCTTCGCATATATATACATCAGTTTTAGAATTTCTTTTGAGGCTGAGTGTAGGCATGTGATTTTTGACCCTCCCCAAGATTTTATATATTTTAGCGTGTAAATATTTAATTTATGTCTAATATAGTTATTTCACCTAATTTTGACTCTATTTGCTTTACTTTATCACAAAAAAAAATTACAAAAAATATTTTCTCTTATTTAGCTAGTTAACATTTTTATCTCGTTACTTTTAATTTGTCTACTAAATTCGAAAATACAAAAATAATTCTAGGAATGTTATCTTAATTTTATAATGATTTTTTTTTATTTTTTTATCTTTTAGTATGATATTTTGAAAATACAAAAAATAGTTTTATTTTAATGGTCAGTTTAATTTTAACAGTTATTTTATTTAAGTAGGATTAATTAATAAACGATGTCGTATTTTAATCTCGTTCGCGAGGAAAGAATAAAACGTGGGCTCGAGCAACCCATTTTTAGGCCTAATTTTGGACCTAACCCATAATTCCCAAGCCCATAATTTCCAGGCTGATACCCTTAACCTAATTCTTGCCCTTGTATAATAGTATCTGGCACCTAAAATAAAGGGGGACCTAAAAATTTGGACCGGCCGTTTCTGAAAAGGGCAATACACATTTAGACCCTAACGCCTAAGGTCTAGAGAAGCCTTCATTCTCTAACCTCTTTCGTCTCTCCCATTCCTCAATCACCCTAGCCACCGCAAAAGCCTTCGTTGGCGGTCACCACTTTGATTTTTCCGTCAGAATTCCGGCCAAGTTACCAGCCATTGCTGATTTCTCTCACGTTTTCATTGTTTCAAAAATGCTGAACTCCTGTTCTGAGGCTCAAGTTTGTTTAGCTGCTGTTAAGCTTTGTATTAGTAGAAGCGGATTACTCTCTTTATTTGCTCTTGACCTCTTGGTCTTTGTTTGAATTCATATGTTGATTCCTTTACGTTTAGCCCATCGATTAATAAATTTAAACTTAGTTAATTCTGTCATGAGTAGATTTTACTTGTTTTGCTGTTTCGAATGATAAAAAATCATAATTTTATATTTTAGTTCCTTTCGGTCAAGTTTGCTAGTTGTAGTTGAGGTGTGCATATAAAAAAAACGCGTGGCAGGTTTGACAGAATGACTCGCACGTTAATTTAAAGCATACTGAGAGGAAGACAATATTGATGGATTGAATTTAGAGATGGGGCTGGGCGGATCTATGTTTTATAATTTAAGTCCTAAGGGACTCATTTCTAATGAAGCAGTGGCGAGTTTTTTTTATAGTAGCAAAAATACTTGTAATTCATTCGAACAGTAGTTGGTATAGAAATGATGTATGGATTTTTCCTGTTTCTTTCTTTCACTATCTTTATTTTGTTCTCCTATAGTGTAACTAGATTTAAATATTTCTTGTGACGTTAATTTAGGCTATAAAATTGTTGATAAAACTATTTTGTCTTTGGGTGCTCGTGATTACTTCTAATCCATTGGGATGGCGATAAGCAGGCCCATTTATGAAATCTTGTTGACTCCAACGCTTGAACAAGATATTAGTTGGGTTTGGGTTTTAAGCTTTAGGCGCGTAATTTAAATTACTTTCCTAAATTCGGGTGTGCATTTCATGTAACCCAACCATAATTTCGAATAATGATAGTAGAAATAAGCATGTTATAATCCGGGTGTGCATTTCATGTGAATCGGCTCCAATTTCCAACAAGGTTAAATAGAATGTGTCGTGACTCACTGGTGCATTTCATGTGGCGTGGCTCACGGTGTGTTTTAAATAACCTTGAAATAATTCCTTAAATAAATAAAAGCGGGTTTTAAAGTTAAAATGCACATAGGTTCAAAAGTGTTTTAAAATCAGATAATTAGACCAATAATAATAGTTGAGCGACCGTGCTAGAACCACGGAACCCGGGAATGCCTAACACCTTCTCCCGGGTTAACAAAATTCCTTACCCGGATTTCTGTATTCGCGGACTGTAATACAGAGTCAATCTTTTCCTCAATTCGGGATTTAAACCAGTGACTTGGGATACCATAAAATTATCCCAAGTGGCGATTCTGAATTTTTAATAAAATGATCCCGTTTCGATTGTCACTTTAAGTTGGAAAAAACTCCCTTTATATCCCTTTACGGGAGTATTGGTAAAAAGGAGGTGTGACACTGAGAACCTATCTTGTTATCTTTTACTCTGTGTTGTGATTTGATTTCAAAAATAGGATAATTTAATGGGGCAA